CCATAAGGAGGGATGATCCAAACTCGGGCTTCCATGACCATGAGATATCACTTCATTGAGTTGAATATATTTTTCTAAAGGCTAAAAACAACTTTATTCTACTTTGACTTAATGAATTCAGCCCATAGTTCCCATGCACTTCACATTTCCCCTACTCAAATTGTGATCAAGAGGTCATTTCTTTACAGGCACCTTAAGCAATTCTCATATAACGAGCCAAGCAAGCACATTCATAATCTACTAATCTTCCGATATAAAGAAGTAAAACAGTTGAGAATTCAATACGGAAGACAAACAAAGTAGCATTTTTACAAACTATCAAAGCATCCAAACAGTATGAATCCACTACCAAGACCACGACTAACATATTTGGAACAGAGAGAACAAGTAATTTTAACTAGATGACAAACTCACAAGTTTTTAGGGAGAAATTATTCGAGAAGATCGCCACCATCTGCCTAGTAGTTATACTGTTGGAAGTAGGAGACAGAAACTGCACAAATACTTCAAATTTATATCAAATGGTTATTAGGGGGCATTCAGATTTTTGAATCCACGTCCCACAATTATTAAAGAGCAGCCACATTTTAGATGTCTCATTAAATAATTTTTCACTTTGCTGATTAGAAGTAGATCCTACTATACATTCAAATTATATGTATCAAAGGAAAGGAATAGGCTTTTGTAAGTTGGTAAGAAGAGTGCATTATTATGAAGTTTATCGCCACAGTCATCTCTGTACAAAGTAAGAGAAGGAACAAAAGAAAACAAAACAAAATAACAATAGTCATGAGATTCTGACCGCCCAAAATAGTTCCGCCTGGGGATGGTGTTTTGTTCAACTAGTGGGCTTGAAAGTGTAAGGCTGCGGAAGTACCAAAGGGCCTCTCCTCGAATCTTTGTCATCTAAGAGTCTTTGAACCCTACTGTTCTGACAAAACTTCCTATCAAAATGCTTCACCTACCAACCAAATCAAAAACACCAGAAATCAAAAACCCTTCAAACCATGAATTCTAAGAACCAACAGATTAATAAAATATTCAGGGATCAGGCCATGAAATTTACCCAAGAAGCCCTACAAAGTTTGACAAACTCAGCCCTGGAGGCTTTACACTCAGCGGGATAAAGAAGGCCAACAGAAGCAATTTCAGTGGGCTTCTTGTCTGATTCCTTCTCCACACAAGCATAAAAAGCATCGCGAGCCTTGTCCAGATGCATGAAATTGCCAAATCAATACTCAAGGATTCTTATGAAACAGAAATCGTGGAGAATAAGTGAGCGATTGAGAGATATAACCTTGTAGCAAGCTTGTCTGAATTCCGCTAAAACATCGGTGTGAACTTCTTCCGAGCCTCCAGACGGATCAGTTTCGGGAGCCATAGTTGCTACAACAGAGACGGAGATGCTATGCTATGTTGCTTGGTTTCTTTCGCGGTTGGGGTTTTCGATCGTTCCAACCAATTTCCCTCAGCCGCTTAAGGGCTTCAGATTTCGGCCCAATCATGTTGGGCTCCGCATATTTTCAAGGGCAGTTTTGAAATTTTAATTAATAATAATTTTTAAAATATTTTTTTATATAATTTATCATATATATTTTTGCTATTAAAAAAAGAATTAAATAAACAAATAAATAAATAGTCAAATTGAAATGATATCTGCTTTTTCAGGTCTGGGAAACGGTCAGAGCTGGGAAATACATTGGACTGTTTCTGTCGGTACTCGAAAAATACCAAAATGAAATTAAATAATTTAATTACATTAATAATATTTTCATTTTCATTTTGGTCTATCCATATTTAAATTATTGTGATTTAAATCATATTGTTTTTTAATTCTTAAATTTCATTTCCTAATAATTTTATACTTCCTTTCAAAGTTTAATATTTTTCAAATCTAAAAATAAATACATAATATTTTATTTTATTTTTTTATTTAACGTTATTAATTTTAATTTTATAACATAATTATTATTTAACCCTGTTCTCCTTCCCAGTTTAGGGGTGTTTGATGGGTTCTACCTCGCTATTCTAAATATGTATAGTACTAAAAATGCCTTTGTACGAAACCACAATTATTATTATCGACATCAAATTCAATGGTACGTAATTTTAATGTACAATGATGTCGAATTGTACCAACTATTATGTGTTTGATTCCTTTTCATCGTTCCATATCCAGCCACGATTCATCCATATCCAAGTTTGTATGGATAAGATTTGAAATCTTGAATGTTTATGGGTGAATCAATATTGCAAATTCAAATCATTTCAATCTGTACCATTTACGACTCTTTTGTTCATTGAACACCTTTTTTGAATTGATGACATATTAATGTTTAACTATGCTTAAACTGATGGTTTCAATGTTTATATGTTCATCAGGGTCTCACTCTTGTTACTAATATAAATATATGTAGTTAGATCAAGCGTTCGAACAATATATGGGTGGAGATGAGATTGGGTCGAAGCCCAAATCTCCCTCCTAGCCGAGGGTGAGGATAGGGTCAACCTCCAAACTCAACATGTGTGATGTATGCCCCAAACTCGTAAAGTTCCTGTCAACTTGGTTTGGTACTTAAAATCCTTATGACACTCAAAAATTACTCGTGAATATTTTATTTTCGCTATGTCTTCTCTAATTATAATGTGGAAAATTGACAAAAATAATAATTAATATATATTTTAATATAAAAAATTAACAATTAATCAAAATTATGAACATACTGCTAAGTTAGGTGTCACTTCTCCATCCTTATCCCCACGTAATAAATTATTCTGTCTCCATTATAAGACGAGATCCAAAATTCGTGGAGGAGCATTATTGTTTTGTTTAAATTTTATTTCATTTATTTAGAAAATGTAAATCTTAATTTAAAAAAAAATCCTTAGAATTAAACAAAAGACTATTCCTTTAATTGCATGAATTATTATTATTTTTATTTTTATTTAAAAAAAAAGTTTCGGATTAAAAATTCAAATGTTTTTTTTTTAATTTTATAATATATGAAAAATATAAATATAATTAAAAAAAATTAGTTAGTTAAAAGTGAATTTATAAACATATAAAAAATAGTTATCCGAAGAAAAAAAAGGTAATTTGTTATGGAAAAGTGATTGGGAGTTACCGGCAAAATAAGCAAAGTTGGAATTAATTGGATAAGACATAATTTTGTCTTTTTAAATTTAAATAATTTTATTTTCATTTTCAGAAAATACAGGACCAGTTTTTCTCCTATTATTATAGTTACTTAATCATTTACTCCAATAATTAATGCATCATTTTTGTGTAGTTAATGCTTGATTTCCCCCAAATTATTTCACAATCATTTCCCTTTTATTTTTGTGTATGTGTTTTTTAAATGCTATTAAAGTTTTTTGTTTAGTAAATACCGGTCAATTTACCATAATTTAAATACTATGTCTGAACTTAAATTTTTTTAAATATTTTTTTCATTTAATTTAGAAGGAAAATAGTTAATAATTGTTTACAAGTATTTGATGCTCTAAAAACATTTTTAACTTATAAAAGTATTTGAATTTTAAATTTTTTTATTAATATTTTAAAATAAATTTAGAAAATTTTAAAATATTTTATTTTTATTTTTATTTCAAAAAGACCTTTAAATGTTTTGATTTTTTTTTTTTATACCAATTTAAAGAGTTCGGTAAAAAAATCAAGAGGTGTTTAAGATCAAAGTGTAAATGTGCTTGGTCCCTAGGTCGACACAATTTTAAAATTCCAGGTCTTCAAGAGTGGTATTCACTAAGGGCCCTCTTCACCCTCCATCTAAGCTGCGCATGAAAGTTCGAAAGCCATCCATCTAAGTTGTCCAAGAAAGTTCGAAAGCCAATACTATGGAAAGTAAATCTTTATAGGGTCTTTCTATTTAGGTGCAAGTAATCAGCATCTTCGAAAACATGTCTATTTCATTGAACTTCTCTGTCTCAGACAATGCCCATGTTTTTTAAATTTAATGTGTATATATTTTATTTTTTAAATATAGAGGTATTAATTAAAAGTTGAAAGATATTTTTAAATAAAGTTATTTAAAAAAAAAAAATTAAGAGTTATTGTCGAACATTTTGAAAAATTTAATAGTATTTTTTTTAGAGGAATACAAATTTTAAGAGTTTTTTATTAATTTTTTTTTCTTTTTTTTTCCGAAAAGTCATTTTAATATAGAACTGTTATATATCAACATGTTATAAAAAGAAAATGGTTTTTTTTTTTTTTGTTTTTGAAGACTTTGTTCCAATTTATTTTAAGACAACAAAATATAAAAAAAATAATAGTCTAATATCACATTACATGTTTTAATAATAGGTGTCGATTTATGTTAGATTTAATAATAGGTGTCGATTTATGTTAGAATAATAATATATCTAAATTAATAAATAATTATTTTCAAGTAATTAAGATTTTTTTTATTTCTTTAATTACAATCATGCAAACCTTTTAATAAAGTATGAAATAAAAATTTTCAGACCACAAACTAAATACCAATCCTTTATATTAAAAATATAGTTTTATTATTTTAAAAAAGTTAAGAGTTTTTTTAATCTTCATGTTTCTTTTGTTGCATTATGCCAATTTGACAGTTTCCAAAAAATTAAATGTATCTAATTAATATTTAATTTATAAAAATTTGAAAATTCATGAATATATAGAATTATCTTAATCACAAAGATTATAAGATTATTAAGATACACTCATGAATCATAGAATTAAAAGTGAAAGGTGAATTATTTGGGATTAGTTTATAATAATAGTAAACTTAAAAAAAAAAAAAAATATATATATATATATATAATATATTTATTAAGAGATTATATTGAGAAGAAAATCGGACGGTGGAAAATGTGGTTGAATTAAAAAGGCTGAGGGAAAGCATTGAGGATTAGGGCATGAAGTCAGTCGGCGGGATCTGATTGGTCCACGTAGACCACATTTACAATGCTTACCTTACAGCTACAAGTTGAGGAAGACGACGGTCCCACAAAAAACCACTCGATGGACTGTCATGTCCTCTACCTTTTGTCCTTTGCTTCCCCTCCGCTCGTAAATTTGGCTCTCTGTACATTTTTTGTAACACTGTCCCTACCGCCCCTCTGATCTGTTTGGCTCTCCACCAACGGTGGTGGTGGTGGAGGAATTCTCATTGGTGGCTTTCCCAGATGCGTATTTTAGAAAGAGAAAAGTTGTTAAGATGTCAGGGTTGTTTTGTTGTTTTTTGCTTTTGATGGCGTGTGAAATGGGTATATCTATGGATGTAATAGCGAAACCCTATTTCGCTTTCTCCTTGCCAGTTTCTGCTGGTGTCGATGATGGAAATACATGAGAGTTGAGAGGAGTTTAATTTTACAAGAATATGGAAGGAAGGATGCAGAGAAGGTGTATGATGAAATGTCTGACAAAGAAAGAAGGGAAAATTTTTCTCATGGGGTGGGCTAAAGTGGTTATGTCTTTTATGGGTTTATTGATTCCATAAATGGGTGGGTTTTAAGGTGATGGATTAGATGAGTGAAGGGAAATTGTTGGGTTTTGTTGAGAGATTTTATGATGGAATATGGAAGGAGAGACCAGAAGGGTAAGAGAGTGACAGAAGAGAGTGAGCACACGCTGCAGCCAAATGTATGAAGAGCATACCTCTGCGGGTGCGTGCTCACTTCTCTTTCTGTCAGCTTCCCCAGTATTTTCCCTTCTGATCTCTTCTTCTCTCTCTTCTACTCTCACTACCCGCTGCTCGCTAATCAAAGACCCTAATCTATACCAATGCCCCTTTCATTCTTTCTTCTCTCTGGTTCACATTGTCAGGGGCCAGATGTCCTCTTGCTCCGTTCCTCTCTATAATGGGTACCCCCTTCATTTTTCATCCTCTGATGGACAAATGGAACAACAACACTGGCGGAGTTGAAGCGGCCTCTCTAAACTTCCAAGCGGTGCCACTGTATTGTACAATTTTCGCCATCACACTCTTAATTTGTCAGTTTATTCTTATCTATTGCAATATTATTATTTTATTCTCTGTGGTTCTTGTGATTTTTTCATGGAAACTCTTTTGGTGTTGTTTCTTTTTTCTTGACATTGATTTCCATGGAAACTTGATAGCACGGCTTTTGATGCTCCTCTCCTGCTTATATATATGTAATTTTGATGGTACAAATCAATTACTGTTCATATTTAACAGAAAAATCCTTCGAATATCGTTGTTGTTTAGTGGAAAAACCCTGATTACTGTTCCTATCTAAATCTCAAACTCCCCGCCATCTTTTGGGGTTTCCTTTGATATTAAGCACACACACTGCCTTTATTTTTATTTATTTGGTTCCTGAGATTTGGGTTATTCCTTATCTGACCAAATATTTCTTCCATTGCTGAGAATATTGGAATCTGGGATATATTTATATACGCATTATTTTCGTCGTTGAAGAGTTTTGCAGATTTTGTTTTGGTTTTTACTTTCCTAAAACGAAAAATTTCTTGCCGTCGTGGGCTACTACTTGGAGAAGGGTGTGAGACTGGACCGACTCGAGTGCTGAATATGGCAACAATCTCTCGTTTTGGATGCCTGAAGGTCCTGCCGTTTTCGAGTCCCAGATATGGAGCTTCCAAACCGGAAAATTTCCCCATTCAGGTAACTGATTTATTCGATAAGAAGATATTCCCAGATTTCTGTTCTCCTGCCCCCTTTTCCAAAAGCATCTTCTTCTCCTTCTTCTCCCTGGTTATTTATTTAAGTGTAGCTCATTAGGTCTTCAATATTGCTCTTGTCAGCACTTGCTTGACGTTGGGAGGCAGCAGCCTGCTTATTTTTCTCTTCACTTTAGATTCGCTATCATAACCACCACCCCCACTGTCCGATTGCGAGGTAAGAAACGGTCTGTTGTGCTTTCTTTTTCCACTTGATTGATTTCTTGGATTTTTTAAGACGTGTTTTGTGATTTTTGTTTGTTTTCTTACTTGAATCTCTTTTCCCAGTTATTCATCTTATCCTTTTCTTGAACATGGGCTTGTATGTATGGGTTAGATTGACATTGTCGGTGTAGCTATGATGCTCTTTTATTTCATTTGAAGGTAGTTGGTTCTTTGATTAATGCTTCTAAATTTTGTTATGATACCTTGCTCTTCAAATGTGGCAAACTTTGTGGAGTTTGCCACCGGATTTCTATATGACATGTAAGAAGGGTTTGGCCCCTTGTAAAGGTTGACGTTCTAATTAAACCCCACAGAGGGGGAAAAAAGGGAATCTTTGGTTGACAATGATTATGTGGTTTAGTATTTTGGGAGCTTACAAATGTTTTAATTAGATTAAAGGAAGCCGAAGAGTCTTGGCTGTCCTTTTCATCCTGAGTGTGCTATGAATTTTGACATGCGAATATTTGATAATCATCACAATCAAATTTGTTAAATTTCTAATCACAACGAATCCTTTGTCAACTTCTATAGAGATGAAATTTATGCAAATAGATAACAGCCTACGAAAATTATATGTTAGGAAATGAGTCTAAAAATATGAAGTTTTCAGATTTCGTTCTAATTTGTTTTTGAATTAAAAGACTTCTTAATAATTACCGATTTTTTTCAAAAGAAAATGACAACTTTTGAACATTCATTTACTTACACTTCTTTCATTTATTTTATTTTATTTTATGTGGTTGTGATAAAATTAGATCATATGCTAGAATGTTTATCGTTACATTCATTTTATGAGCGCATGAGCTGAAAGCTGTTGAGTAAAAAGTACTTCGCACTAGAGTCAAAAGCTTTTGTCCTGAGAGAAAGGTTGTTACTATAATATTTAACCACTTGAGGTTACACATGAAATGATGTCAGAAATACTCCAAGCTTTTGAAGCCTGTAGCTCTATGGATAATTTCAAACAGTGATTGAAGCATCATTCTCTTTTTGTTTTTTTTAGATTTCTCTCAGTACGTTTGAATGAAGTTTGACACGCATTTATTTCTCTTGTTATTCAGCCTTTTTTTTTTTTTTTTTTTTTTTTTTTTTTTTTTTTTTTTTTTTTTTTTTTTTTTTT